TTTTAGAGAGAGAGAGCGCGGGGTGGGGGGCAGAGGCAGAGGGAGACACAGTCTTAAGTAGACTCCCCACTGATGGTGGAGCCCCACTAGGGGCTAGATCTCAGGACTCTGAGATCAGGACCTGAGCTGAAACCAAGAGTCAGATGCTTAATGGACTGTGCTACCCAGGCACCCCTAATAGTTTTAAAATTAGATATAGAGTAGTATTCTCAACAAATTGTTCTGATGGAAAACAATTCTTAACAAAATTAATAATATACTTTCAAAAAGAATATTTTCTAAATGATGATATACAGGAGTATAAAACTTCACTTCCTATAGATTTTTTCAATGCTTACTAATAAAAGTAGTGAGAAACTTAAGATGTACAAAGATATGATGCTAAAGCAATAAAATTATTATTATGGTGTGTGTGGTTTTCTTTACCCAATTGGAAAACTAGCAACAATACAATGTATTACCAAATGTGAGCACAAGGACTAAAATGAATCATGTTCAAGTAGAAAGAAAGAACTAAGACTTCACATAAATGAGTGAGTAAAAGAGACTTCATAGAGATAACAGGCTTAATAAACTAATACTTGAAACTGAGGATATAAAAAACAAACAGGGAGTGGTGAGAGTTATGGTGAATTCATAAAATGGGCCAGTGACATTTGGACTAACACATGTTAAGAATTCCAAATGAAAAGGGGCAAAGGCTACTGAAGCATTGAGCAAGGATTAGTAAACTACAGTTGGAGTCAAATATTCTAAACAATACAATTCATCAAGAAAAATATATTTAGCTTCTATCCATACATTAGCAATAAAATAATCCTATTACCGCACCTATTAACAACTACTACTACTACAACGACAAAAAACTACAAGTATGGTTCTCACTACTTACTGCTGCTTCAGTTCAAAAACATTAGTCAAAAGAAATTCAAACATTTTAACCACAAAATCCTAGAAAACCAATTAACAAAAACATGTTTCAAAAAGAATAAAAACATTGAAGAATAATAAACAAGGACATTTTGAAAGGGTTTTAAAAACTGTACTCACTTTAGCAGAAAGATCAACGTCCACATTCAGCTGCTCTTCTCTATCCCCGCCAATGGGACCAGGTGGAAGGCTGGGGCTGAAGGCCATGAGGTCGGTCTTGGGCGGGGGCGGGGGCGGGGGCGGGGGCGGGCCCTCTCCAGAGCACACCCTCTGCCGCCTCTGCTGCGAGTACGACCAGCTCCCCACCGCGCTGGAGCACACCAGCGTGGGCTTCCCAGGCGCGCACGCGCCCTCCGCGGGCGGAGCCGAGCAGCGCAGCGCCGTGTACAGCAGCAGCGTGAGCACCAACAGGCTGGACACCGCGCAGATGGCGATGATCAGGTACA